AGGGAGAGAGAGAGAGAGAGGGGGAACCCCAAACACTAAATGTACAAGATGGCGCAACGAACATGACCTCTGACTGCGCAGTTTCTCTTAGAAAGCCGGACGCTGGCACGTCTGACAATTCTGCTGTGTATGGTGTCTGGGTTGCCTACCGATGCACAAGAAAGAGCAACACCTGAAGGGTGACAAGATTGGTTATGGATACACTAATTGGATGCAGCTGCAAATTGGATGCATATCTGAATTGAGTGCAAGTGAGAGGCTGTCAAAAAGTCAATGTCAAGAGCTGGTCTGTGCGAGACATGGCTTCTGCCTAGTTTCCCCACGGCTACATCAATGCTTTTGGGCATTGTTGCAGCGGTGTTTTGAGATGAGGGGGCTGCTGAGTCTGTCAAAGTGCAGCTGTAGTCTTGGGCCAATCTGATGTATTTGGATGGCGCTGTTGCTTGGACACTGCGCTTGATGCCCGTGGTGACTCCCGGTCGGTTGTGTGTCCTTGATGGCCACCTGATGACAACCTCAATGGGTTGATCTGATCTGAAGTTATAATTAGTGTCTGTGAGAAGCTGTTAATCTGGCATGCTTCCTCCCTTCACTTTGTCTGTGCTCTCTGTTCTGAACATTACCCTGCAATGCGGGCTCGTCCTTGCTATGTGGGAGGGAAAAACCCTCTTCCTATTCCAACAGAAGCAGCAGGGAGGAAATGGGATGAAATGGGCCTTCAAAACAAAACACAAAATCCCGCTACATCGCTGGTAGTCAACGGGCGTCGCCCCAGGAAGCTCATACTGACGCTAGCTCCATAGACGCCTACTCGGTGGATAGGCGCCTCGAACAAAGCAACAACGGGGATGGACCATCGGCAGGAGAACCCGAGCAGGCGCAGCAGGAACGGTCAAACATGTTGAAATTCTGGGATAAAGCTCGCGACGTGTCTGCAACGTGGCTAGGCATGGTAAAAGCGCATCATGGATACGCATGACCGGCATCCTACGACATCAAGCTGCGTGGAGATGATGTTCCGCACAAGGAGCCACCCCAAGTTACAACTTAGTTATAACAGTAATAAGTTAAGTATATTTCAGCAGCATTTCTCAAGCTGTAAATTTGCACCGGAGGTCGTTTTGCAGAGCGGGTAAGTCAACTCACGCCCATCTTTCCGATGCCATGTTGGCAACCTTAATGCTCAGCAAATGCACGAAGGAGTCCAGGTTGGCCGACACTTTCTGCCCCAGCCACGATCCGGCGGATTTTCGATTTATAAGCCACGGTGCTCCCAGTAGCAGTAGCAAATTTGGCAGCAAGCACAGGGTGAGCTCGCTGCCTCGTTTGGACTCCGCAGCCCAACAAGCACGAAACAATCCAATTCTTTGCTTACACTGATGGGCTGCATCGGTTTGTGTTTGTGTTTGGTGTAGTTACCGGGGTCCGGCTCAGATGCCGGGTTGCCTTCATGACACCACATGCGAGCTCTCCATCGTCACTTCAAAGTCTGCAAATGGAAACCGCGAGCTCGTTCAGCGCATCCATGTTATCCACATTCTTGCCGAGCGGATTCGGTGCCTCCACCTCCTGCCAGCAGTCGACTTCCTGCCAGTTAAGCAACGCTTGCACCTACTTTCTTCCTTCGGTTTGCGTTTCGCTCGACTGACCTGCCATGCTTCTGCTGGCACCAGGAGGCTGTCTTCTGCAGCAGCGAAATCCCCTGTGGGATCCATGACCAGTCTCGCGGCTTCGGATGCAATATATCAATAGGCGCAAGCTCGACTTGAAATCCGCTGCGGGACAACACCTACGTGTTCTCACGCGTGCGGTGTGGCCACCGCCCACGCACTCCGGGTTGAGGGCGTGCAGCATGCAGGATACCATCCTAGAGTAAACTGCAGCAGCAGATGAGATGCCTGAAAAGCCTATATAGGCTGCCATGTCGAACTGCTGCTGTCGTGTGCAATCCGATCTTCGTCGGAAGAAGGCATTTCCTTTCTAAAGAAGATGCAGGCAATGGCCACCGCATCCATCCCCCCTGCAGTCTGGATTCGCTTCGGTGGTTGTGGCGTTTTGCTCGCCACACCGGGCACCGCCTATTGCCAGTATAGGTTTACAAAGATTTACAAAGCTTACATACATGAGGCAGAGGCAACCAAAGGCCGCTTCCTGGCTCCATGGAGTGGGTCTTTGGGGCCTTCCAGCCACTCTGTGGCTTCGTGAGACTGAAGGTTCCCACAAAGGTTTCCTCGACTTAGTGCTTCTCTAAGTGCAAGCAACCTCCGGCAGCCAGCCAGCCTGCGGGCGACCGAGACTGTCGGTCGGTCTCGGCCCCAGCAAAGCAGCGAGAAGAGACAGAGAGAGAGGGAAGAGGCAGACCAAGCAAGCCCTCCATGCCGTTAGCTTGCCCTTAGTTTGCCAATGGCTCGAACTGAAAGCACCTGACACATCATGTCATGAGGGTCTCTTCAGCACCTCGGCCCCCATGCTTCCTCCTGCTACATTTGGCCTGCTACAAGCATTCGCTCTGCTTACAGAGGCCTGGTCATAGCTTAGTCCCACATGGCATGTCGATGTGTACATAGACCCAGCGTATTGATGCAGCTCGTGCTTCCGCATCTTTGCAGCCGGGCCTCTCCCCAGAGCTTCTTCCTCGCGGCGACTTGCCCGCTGTGCCTTCCCGTGCCTGGCGAAGCAGGAGGCCCCGAAGGCCCGGCAGGCAAACCCCCCAAAATGCCTTCTAGCACAAAGACTGATCGTTCAAATCGGTTTTCCTCTCCCCTTGACAAAGTTCGTGGCTTTGTAGAAGACTGAAGCCAGACAGGCGCTGCATACTTCTATCAAACAAGCAAATGCAGACAAATCCGCTAGAAAGTTCCGGAGTGTTTCGTAACTTTAGCACAAACCGACTGAAGTAATGGTAGTCCAATGGTAGTGGTATTGAACATGGTTCAGGTCTGGGGGGCTAGGTCTGCCTGGACCGCCTTGGCTAGCCGTTGGTTTCACGGCCATGACCTGGCGCCCAAGCCGCTTGGAAGGTGATAGGGAGCTTGCGTTCGGTCCTGGAGCTTGAAGCTGGGGCTTTGTTTGACACTCGAGGCCACCGTGAGTGCGGGACACGCCCTCGAAGCTTGGACAGTGAAGTGACAAAGTAAGACGTTTGGGGCAACACATCGCACACCATAAGTGCATAAATACTGTGTTTTGTTTGGGCATGTAGGCCAGAAGCTAAGGCTGGGATGAGCTCTCGGTTCCCTGCCATGTCTACAGAAAGACTCGGGAAGAGGCGCGAAGCCAAAGATGCACAGGCGCAAGTACTCGGAAATAGTTTCACACACACCAAGAACGAATAGGCCTCCTGCAAATCAGCTATCAGGGACGAAAGCAACCAGCAGACGAGTAGCATCCCCAACGACGGTGAGCCACTGCTAGCTTTTGCTACGTGTACGCGATTATGCTGACATGCATGCAGGCATGAAGAAGGCTGGTGTGAGTGTATAGTTGAGTTTGAGTTAATTACTTTACTGCATACATGCATGTGTAAGCTCTTGCCGCTTGCCATGATTAGTGTGTGTGTGTGTGTCTGCAACTAGGCATGCGAGAAGCTATGCAGACAGGGGCGCATCTTCTCATATGCTTATTGTACCATGGTACGCCGCAGTTTCGCCTTTTCCGTAATCGCATGTGCATGCGCGCATAAAGCAACAGGCACCCGAAATTGGAGCCAGAGCTCACAGCCAGTGACTCAAGCACTTCAAAAGCCCTCTGCCGCAGGTCTTGCAGGTCCCAAACAGTTTGGGTTCCTTGCTGGCCTGGCTCTGCCGGCCCAGAGCAGTGGAGCCGTCTTGCTGTTTCCTGCAGCTCGCGTAGAAATCGTTGGGTGATTTGAGAATTGTCAAGCGTTTCGGGTCGTGAAGTTCGATGTGAGAGCAGCTTGTCCTTCAACTTGTGGTGCAGGTACACCGTCATATTACTGTCATGGGCGTTAACTTTGGTTTTGATCTACTCGAGGTTTCTACCCGTTTTCAAAGGCGAGGCCGCCGAACTTGTCGCATCGGACAGGGGCACCACACAAGTCCGGACTCAATGCTTTATTGTAGTTAAGAGAAGAGCCTTGCAACACTGGGAGTCCTTATGCTCGCGATCATATTCAAGAATGTGTTGGGCCCCGGCCCGGATTAATCCGGTACTTTCGCTGTTGATACAACACACTCCTTCAGGCCTCTTCGTCTGAAGAGCGTGGGTGTATGTTTCTGTACCAAGGTATCTTCACGGGTTCCCAGATCAAAGCCTTGACCACCGCAAGGCTGGCTGCAGTGCAGTGCAAGAAGCGCAAGAAGCTTTTTGTGATCGTTAGGTGCAGGATGTTGGTGCAAGACTCCGCCCACGTTTCCGAAGTCTAAGCCGAAGCTTGATGCTCACTTAAGTTTTTCGGCAGAGCGTGGCGTCAGAATTCTATTGATACTATTGACTATATGCCCCCTTCGCTCATATTCGAATACACCGGCCAACGATCAGTTGAAGGCGGTTGAAGGGTTGGTGACCTTCTGCACAACCCACACACAATCGCAGGGCATCGTGCAGGCCAGTTCTATAGTTTGGAAACAAATCCGAGCTAGCCAGGAATCTTTAGCCGCCTGCGTGGTGAGGGGCTCACATGTAGCTTGTGAACGAATATAGTGATAATATTCTGGCGGCATGAATTTTTGCAGTTCTTTTGACGAATTTCTTTTGTCCGCTGTCATAATTAACCAGCTTCCTCCACGAATGTCGTTCTGGTGCCGAGAACCATGCCGTTCGCACGGTATAGTTCATACGAACAAACTTGAATGCCGCGCGTGGTAGCTTAGGTAGCGCATGCCTTCAGCCAGCAACCAGAGTCTACGTCCAACTGCCAACTTCTGGAGCCTGTAGGAGCTGTCCAGCTACGGCCAACTACGGCCCACACTGCCTCAGCGATTGGCAGCTCAGCTCCTGGCTGCGCGTCCCGAGGCTGTCTGGGGCTCCACGAGCTAGCCTTCCGAGGACTTTCGGATGGTTTAGGTTTGTTCGACCCGGTCCTCAACCTCGCGAGAGATCAACCATGATCAACCGTTGATGTAAGATTGCGTAACGAGCGGTAGCCGGCACGCGTGATACTTGAGAGAACCCATCATCAAGCAGGTCAGACAGGTCAAACAGCCGACACATGGCTCTGACCGCATGTCGTACTTGGGTTGCGATGAGATGCCAGGCAGCTTTCGCAGCCTTCAACTTTTCCGGTACCCCTGGGTCTGATGCGAGCTGCCCTTTCCGTGACAAAACAGCAGCCCGGCAGAAGTCCATGCGTACGCAGCACTGGCAGGGAATTCCCAGATCAAGGTCACCCAAGAACTCTCCGATACACTGGCCATGATATCTTACTTGCGGGAGCGATGGCCTGGGCTTCCCATCCACGCCACGAATCTGATTTGTGTCCGGATGTGTCCGGATTTTTCCAGCCATGTTCCAGCAAGCTCTCGATTCACGCCACCCCCATGAGGTCATTGGCATCTCCACTGGTGCCATCGTTGCCAGCTGCACTTCTGCGATACAGCAATATATTATCGGTTTAAGCATCAAGCAATTGGGCTCCGTCAACGCGTCCGTCGAGTTGTTTGACAGGGACAGGAGCACTTCTTTTGTGCTTTGTCCTCTAGCTCGTTCGAGCACGTGCCCGGTGCAGGGACAGGGGAGGCACTCATGGTGGTGGTAGTCGTCGTCGTGGCGGTAGTGGTCGTGGTAATAGCAGGCATAGCAGCAGCAGCAGCAGCAGCAGCAGCAGCAGCGGCAGCAGCAGCGGCAGCAGCAAGAGTAGTAGTAGTCGTCGTCGTCGTCCTCGTCGTCGTCGTCGTCGTAGTAGTAGTAGTACTACTACTACTACTACTACTACTAGTCCTAGTCCTAGTGGTAGTGGTAGT